TACAGATGCAAATGCATTATTTATTTTTAACTTTTTCTTGTTTTCTAATGAAGACATTTACAGCTATAAACTTCACTGTGAGCAGCACTTTGGACACATTCCAAACATACTGCTCTAGCTTTTATCTACTTCTAATTAGATTGTAATTTAGTTTTAATATCCTCTTCTTTAAAAAATTAATTTTGTTGTTGTTGAGAATAAACATAGCAAAATGTGCACCAGTCCACTGGTTCCTACATGTCCAGTTCAGTGATACTGATGGCATTCTTCACATTGTACACCCATTCTCACCCTCCTTTTCCTAGTTGTTCCTCCTCCCCCATTAATCTCATTACCCCCTACATTTCCTATCTAATCTTGCAAGTTACTTTTGTCAACTTTATTCCGTATATATAGTTCTTAGAAGAGTATATTGCTTAAAACAGATATGTTTTAATTTAGCTAAACTGTTGTTTGATTTTAAGATTTCAGAAAGATTTTTGGTTGAAGATTTAAGGATTATCTCAGGGCAATAGTTTCAGGGTTTCATCCACCTTACATGGCTCCAGGAATTGTGGAGTTCCTGAGAATGTGAAATTCTGCTCTGCATTTTCCCCCCTTTTGATCAGGATTAGTCTATGGAATCTTTGATCAAAATGTTCAGTAATGGTAGCTGGGCACTATCTAGTTTTGTTGGTCTCATGGCAAAAGAGGCAGTTTTCTTATGGAGGCAATTCCACACATTCCATACCTTCCTCCTATTCCTGACTCTCCTTCTTCCTCTAGCTCCAGGTGAGTAGAGACTGCTTGTTGTGCTTACAATGGCTGCTTGCAAGCTTTTAAGACCTCAGGCACTGGCAACAAACTAGAACCCAGGCACTAAACATGTTAGTAGGCCAGTTAATTGGGGTGGCCCATGAAAGTAGGATTGCCCAACCTTCCTTCCGAGGAGTGAAGGTTGGGCAATCCTGCTTCCGTAGTGATACCGCCTCGGAAACCCAAGGAGGGGTCGCTATGAGTCGAAGCCGACTTGATGGCAAATAACAACAGCTAACAACAACATGAAACCATGACCCTAAAACTCCAAACCAAGAAACCAAATCTCATGAGGTTTTTGGTTGGATCAAAGCAGCTTAATTTCCTCTTTAATCCAAGAATTATCTAAAGGGCATTTAAACATTTTTAATTAGATTCTCTTTTTTTGCTGTACTTTTACAGTTAGTTTCTAATTTTAATCTTTATTTTATTCAAAGAATAGGTCTGTATGCTCTGCTGTTTGGAATTTGCTGAAAATTTCATTGTATTCTGACAGATGGTCAATTTTTGTGAATATTTCATGTGTATTTAAAAAGGCTGACAATTCTCTCTTAAATGGGTACAAAATTTACTCTGTCTTTCTATGTTATGTATCTTGTTCATTGTGTAATCTCAACCCCCTGTACACTGATTATACTTAAACTCCCTGTACACTGATTATGCTTAAACCCCCTGTACACTGATTATACTTAACCATTTTTTTTCACTTGATGTGTTATTAAAATAGGTATGTTAGAGCTGATCATAAGGGTTTTAGATTTATCACTCTGTCCTTACTTTTATAATAGTTTTTGTTTCATATGGCCTTAAAGCTATGGTGCTAGAGGAACAAAAGTCCATGATGTAACATAGGTTTTATTCAATAGAGTATAGAAATTATGAGCACAAGCTCTGGGTTCAAATCCTGATTGTTGTTATCAGTACTTACTGCTGTTGAGTCATTCCTGACTCACAGTGACCCCTCTTTGGGTTTCCGAGGCAGTATCACTATGGAAGTAGATTGCCCAACCTCCCTTCCGAGGAGTGGCTGGTGGGTTTGAATGCCAGCCTTCTGGTTAGCAATCAAATGCCTTAGGCACTATGCCAGTTTATTTTTATTGTTAAGTAGTATTACATTTTGTGGATATATTAAAACATATGTCCTTTTGAACATTTGGGCTGTCTCTGGTTTGGGGCCTATTATGAACATTCTAGTACATTATCTCAGGACAATTGTTTCGGAGGTTCGTCCACCCTCCATGGCTCCAGAGAGTGTGGAGTCCATGAGAATGTGAAATTCTGCTCTGCATTTTTCTTGGCGAAACACCTGGGAGGAATCCTGGGTCATACAGGAGGATAGTGTGCATTTTAGAATTTTTCTCTACATTTTTACGTTGTCTAGTGATTCTGGTAGCATAGTGGCTAAGACACTTGCCTGCTGACCAGACGGTTGGCGGTTCAAACCCACCAGCCACTCCTCGGAAGGAAGGTTGGGCAATCCTACTTCCGTAGTGATACTGCCTTGGAAACCCAAGGAGGGGTCGCTATGAGTCGGGTTTGACTCGACGGCAAACAATAACAACAACAGTGATTCCCACTGAGAAGCTCTGGTGGCATAGTGCCTAAGGCATTTGACTGCTAACCAGAAGGTTGGCATTTCAAATCCACAAGGCACTCCATGCAAGGAAGACTGAGCAATCTACTTCCCTAAAGATTTATCGCCTCGGAAACTCAAAGGGGGTTGCTGTGAGTCAGAATCGGCTTAATGGCAGTGAGTTTGTTTGTTGGTTTTTGTAAAGTGAGTCCCACCAAGGGCAGTGGTGAGTCAGTGGTAGAATGCTCACCTGTGAGGGAGACCTGGGTTCAAGTCCTGGCCAGCGCACCTCAGGTGCAGCCACCATTCATCTGTCAGTGAAGGCTTCCGTGTTAATGGGATGCTCACCCGGTTTCAGCAGAGCTTCCAGACTAAGACGTACTAAGAAGAGAGGCCTGGTGATACACTGAAAATCGGCCGTGAAAACCCTGTGGATCACAATGGGCCGGTTCCATTGTATATGGAGCCACCATGAGTCAGGGGCAGCTGGACAGGCGCTAACAACAGTGACTCCCATATTCTCTGTAGGATTTCTTCACACACCAGGCCTGCTGGGGATGGTGAATTTAAAGAGGAGATTTAAAGAGTAGGGGTGCTATGGCTGGGGCCAGCGGCAAGGCCCTAGCATCTGAGAAGGGCCCAGCCAGACCAGCTTCCAGCTCTGCCTGCTTCACCATTGATGCCATCCCAGTGGCCAACAGTCCTACCCGAGTGACAGGCAGCATCCTTCCAGCTGCACTCCCTTCTCAGCAACAGCCAAGTGGGATCTCCTGGTGGGAAGCAGACCTGCCACTTCCCAGTGTTAAGGGTTTCACACGGCACTTAGGACAGAGGCCAAATCATTATACCCTCCAAAGCCCAGCTGACCTCCCACTGTGCCCCAGAATGCCTCGGTACTACAGGCTTCCCCCCAGAGATCTCCTCTCAGCTCCTCACACATCAGTTTGGGCCCTCACTTCTCCCTCCTGAGGACCATTCCCTGCCAGGTGGTTGGACTGTCCCATGAGAGTGACCCTGAGCTCATGCTCAGTCCTCATTGGAGGGAACCAGTGCAGGTCCCAGAGGGCTGAGAGAACTCAGAGGAATTGTTCCCAAGATTCCCCGAGTGCCCCACCCCCCCAGGCCCACACCCAGGCTGACTGAGGCCTTTGGAGGCTCCGAGTCCAGAGGAAAGGCCATCATCCCCACTGCCCCTTCGCAAGGGAATTCCAAACAAAGATCAATACTGAACTGCAAAATAAGAGTTAGGAAGGCCTTCAAGGTACAATTGGCCTCTCTTTGCCTGGAACAACAGAGGAAGGAGAACTAGGAATGGGAGGAAATGGAATATGTAGCAGATTGCCTCCATGAACCGTGAACTGCCTCCTTTGCTGTGGGACCAGAAGAACTGGATGGTGCCCAGCTACCATTACTGAACATACTGGTCAAAGATTCCATAGAAGAACCCTGATCAAAAGGGGGGAAATGCAGAGCAGAATTTCAAATATTCATGGACTCCATAATTCCTAGAACCATGGAGAGTGGATGAACCCCCGAAACTATTGCCCTGATAAAATCTTTAAACCTTAAACCAAAAATAGCTCCAAGTCCTCTTAAAACCAAATGATATTGTTGTTAGGTGCTGTCAAGTCAGTTCTGACTCATAGCAACCCTGTGAACAACAGAAGGAAACAGTGCCCTGTTCTGTGGCATTCCCCTAATCATTGCTGTGTTTGTTTGTATGTGCTTTAAGAACTGCAACATTGTTACAGTTACTGTGTCAGTCCATCTCACTGCACGTCTTCCTCTTTTTTTGCTGAGCCTCCACCAAGTATAATGTCATTCTCCAGGGACTGGTCCCTCTTAATAACATGTTCAAAGTACATGAGACCAAGTTTCCCCATCCTTGCTTCTAAGAGCATTCTGGCTGTACTTTGTCCAAAACAGATTTGTTTGTTCTTCTGGCAGTCCGTGGTCTATTCAGTGTTCCTTGCCACCACCGTCATTCAGAGGTGTCAACCCTAGTTAGCTTAACTAGTAAAGGATGTCTGCCTTGAGCAGGGTGGTCTTTTAAGAACTATCTATATGGGATCAGATTAATAACGGCAACTCGAGCAATTAGATAGGAACCTTCAGGGGCAGTGGAACGTAGTATCACTCAAGTGTATGTGTAGAAACGACTGAATTGGTATATGTTTTGCTGGGTAAATTCTCAACAACAAAATTAAATTACCTTATTTGTCTCATAATGACTACTTGGATGCATTAGAAAAGTGTAAAATGAGAACATCAAAGTGAACGCTTCTGTTTTCCAGCGTCTTATTTTCCCCTGGCCCCTTTGGCTGCTCAGTGAGGATAGCCCCTGTTGCCCCACCCACTTCTGGTCCCCCAGCCCCTCTGGGCCATGCAGCCTGTAGGCCCCTCAAAAGCCCTAGGTCCTGGGCCCAGCTCCAGCCTTACCCTGTACAGTAACTTTTGTTAGACAAACAAAATAATGTTGACATCAAATCCATTTAAAGAGAAATTTCTTTCTGAAGTAAAGGTGGTGGTTCAAATGAAAGGGAATACCATCCTAGAAAGAAGGCAAGGAAAACGGTGGAAATAGGTTTTGTGGTCGGATGCCCTGCCAGGTGACACTGGGCGTCCCCCTCGGTCATTTCTCCTCCTTTGCCTTGTCCGGGGCTGCTTCAGCCTCCTTTGGCTTTTCCTTTTCTGCTTCACCTTCCTTTTCTTTGTCTTTGTCCTTGTCCTTTCCTGGAGGAGGAACCAGCACATTCCTTTTGACCCTCTTGCCCTTGAAGTGCTTTCTTTGAAGACATAAATCAATTAAAGCAAACAGTCCAGCCAAACCAGTAAAGATCTGAAAAACAGAAGAATCCTCATTACTTTTGCTTTTTATTCCAAAGTTGGCAGGCTCCCTTTCTAATTCATCAGTAGATGCCTCTTAACACATTCCCTTGTCCCCTCAAACTACCAGACTTTAGTGTCCATCCCCTTCCCATCTGTGGCTTCCCTTAGTGCCATCTTCCCAGCCCTCTCAACTCCTGTCCTTTGTCTCTAAACCCAGCAGGGTGGGGCCCTTTGCTCTGGGATCAACAGCTGCAAGGAGGAAGCCTATAGCCTGGCTGCCTCCCACGATACCATCTGCATTTGCCTTTCTCATTGGAGACAGTTACCAATTTTATTTACTTTAAAAAAAAAAAAATTTATTGCGATTTGGGTAAAAGTTTAGAGAGCAAATTCATTTTCCATACAGCAGTTCATACACATTTTGTTTTATGATGTTGACTGCAATCCCCATAATGTAACAAGTCTCTTCCCACCTCCTCCTTGCGGTTACCTTTTCCCTGTGCCCTTCTTTCCTATGTATTTCTGCCCACTGAGCTGTCTCCCTGTACAAACACTGCCCTTCTGATCTTCCATGGTTGACTGTTCTAAGGAGTGTATCTACCTGGTGTAAATGTTCACCTTATATGCCTGTCTATTGTTGGGCTGGAAGCCATGGGGGTGAGTTCAATTCCAGGCCTGAAGGGTGACTAGAGGCCATAGTCTCAGGGGTTTCACAAGCCTCTGCCAGACCAGTAAATCTTTTTTTACGATTTTGAGTTTCGTTCCTCACTTTTTTCCTACTCTATCCAGGAAGTCCTACACTGAACGCTTTCTGAGAGGTTGACAGTGGTAGCTGGGTACCATCTAGTTCTTCTGGTCTGAGGGTCATGTAGGCTGAGGTCTGCATGACTCACTACTCCTTTAGACTAACTGTCTCCATGCATCTTTGGTTTCTTTCATTCTTCTTTGCTCCAGATGAGGAGAGACCAACTGTTGCACCTAGATGGCCACTTACAAGCTTTTAAGACCTCAGTTGCTACTCACCAAAGTAGGATGTAGAAGAATGTTTTTGTGTAGTATTTTATGCCAATTGAGCTTGATGTCCCCCGTGACTATGGTCCTGAGCCTAGGGGTGCAACAACTCACCTCAGGGTGGTTGGCTGTGGCTAAGAAGTTATCATAACTTTGCCGTGTTAGCTCTGTTACATATATATGGACGTTCTTATTGTTGTTGTTAGGTGCCGTCGAGTCACTTCCGACTCATAGCGACCCCATGCACAGCAGAATGAAACATGGCCCGATCCCGTGCCAGCTCCATGATCCTTGCTATACTGGACATTTTTATAGCACATACAAATACATATGTAGAAATATCACCTGTAGATTAATGTTTATTATCACTCAGCCACAGGGACCCAGGTGGGGGGGATACGAGAGGTCTCCAACAGCAGGACAAACTTGTCTGTCGGTTTGTCCTACTGTGGTGACATGTAGACGTGAGTTTT